AATTTTCACAGAATAAAAAATCCATTTGATGCACATCTCTAGTTACAGCGGTTTTACATACATGTCTGAAGGTGTTATAGTGCCCTAGAAAATTTAGAGACATTTTCAACTCAAACAACTCAACTCACTTATGAACACATCTATTAATCCTTGATCTTTCATAAAGTTTATCCACGTCACCTTAATATAAAGCCTGACTGAATTTTGTCCATTTTATTCTATGCTGCTGCCAGATGCATCAATGAACCAAAGAAGTTAGGGATTTGGGAACTATCTTGTGAAATATCTCTTTTTCACAGTGTCAAGTTTTGCTCACTTAGTGTCCTTTGCAGAAGAGTTATCTATTGGGGATGATGGTGATCTTGTGTTGATCATCAACTGCACTTTCAGATTCTCCTCCCTACTAGGATATGAAGGTCTAGTCAACTAGTCTACTATCCGATTAGCAAATGCTTATTGGATAGTCGACTAGTCACTTCTCTCTCCCCCCTCCTTGCTGCCTCTATCAGAAAGAGGCAACAAGGGGAGTTGGAAGAGGAGGGGGTACTTCAAAGCGGCAGTGCTGCTTGGAGACTGGGCCCAGACACCACGCTCCATGCGATGCTGCCATTATGAAATGTCGTGTGCAGCCCGCTGTCAGGCTTCCCGCAGCGTTTCAAAGTGGCAGCGCCACACGGAGCGCCCCGGGTTCTACGTGGTGTTTTTGCCTTTGTATTGTAGTCTAGGGCTGTTGCTACACTTCAAAGGCAGAGGTGTCCTATCGACTAATCGAATAGTCGACTATTTGATTAGTCAATTAGTTGATATTTAACATCCCTATTCCCTACCAGGTACCTTGATCCCCAAGATCTTTCCTACATCCTCTCTCAAACCCCAGAACTCTTTATTAGGCCCTTGTCTACACTGGCATGTTTTGTTTCCAAAAAACAACCTTTTGGAGACAAAACAGTGAGAGGATTTACACTGGAATGTGACATCAGGGATGGGGGTGAACACCCAGCTTTGGCGACAAAAAACTTCCATCCCTGAGAGAAACTTTTGTCTTTTCCCTTCCCTTTATTGTCGACAAAGAGCCGGTGTGGATTCTACTGTTTGCTTTGCTGAGAGAACCGGCTTCCACCCGTATCCCACAATACCTGCCCTGATGGCTGTGCTCAGTGTTCTGTGATCTCTGCTGCCCTGCAGGCATGCTCCCCTCCCCTTTCAAAGCACTGGAAAGTATTGGACAGCTGAGTGAGTTGCTCCGTTTGGGGAACAACCCCTGCTCCCAAATAATTGGAGTGCGTCTGTTCTGCTGCTGCAGGTGAAAAGGTTGGAGAGGTGAAGAGTTGCTACTTTGATGTTCCTCAGCACAGAGAGCTCACAGAGCTACCAGGGAATCCCAAGAAGCACAGGGATCAACTCTGCCTTCCCACCACACTGACCTGTGGGATACTTAATCACAATGCTTTGCTCTATCTGCCAAAATGGGAGCTAGCCATGTGGCCATGAAATGTTGACAATGGGAGGCAAAAAGCCTGGTTTGACTGGTTTTCGCTTTTGGCGACTTTTGCATGTCATCAACACATTTGTCACCAAACTTGCCCTGTGTAGACACAATCTAGCTCTCCAAGGTACTGGATAGAAATACAATCTGTTATTTTCAAAAGAGATTAGATTACTAACTAAATGGATGTTAATTTCAGTAGCTAGAGTATCCAGAGGCAGAAAGGACTTTTTCCTTCACTGCTACTAACTTGAGATTAAATCACAGGAAACTGCATGACCCTTTAACTACTTCCTGTTGGAATTCTGTGCCAACAGACACATTCTTATTTTGGGTCTACGTTGGCCTGTGGGCTGGGAAAGCAGGATGTTTTAGGGGAACTTAGTGTAAACCAGTAGCTGGGAAATCCTGCTTCTTTTGTTACTCAACGTGTTACAATATCCTTTTGCTTCACCGCTAGTCCAAGGCTGCGTGTGGTGTAGTTTCCTTTACTAGATCTCACCCCAACACATGTGTCTTAAAGAACAGCAACACTGTTAGAGCGCTTGATTCTCCACTGCTTTGCACCTTGTGGCATGCCTTACACCTGTTCTTCCACTGAACAATGCTAGTGTGTTTACACACACACACACTCACGCAGGGCAAGTGACCACACAGAGTGAAAAGATGTAGCGTCAAGTCCAATGTTCCTTCTAATCTTTTCCATCCATGTGAGGAATAAAGTTTTTATGCATGCCAAGGCACGTGTGAATGTGCACCACCAGTTGAAATAAACAACCTACCTGTGGGTGCTCTGCTAATCAGCGGGGCGGCTTTTGAATCTATCCGGAGTGGCCACACAAGAACACATCTTATAGAGAATGCTGGTCAAGTCCCCTGAACTTTCATTGGTGCAAGTTAAACATTTATACTCAAGAGATTATAAAATGAGGGGTTTGTCTACATATACCCATAGCAGTGTAGTTAAGTGATATATCATCCACAGCCAAAGGTGGATGCAGTATACAAGTGTTTGTACGTTCCACGAGGCGTACAGATAGTTCGGAATAGCTACCTAGTTCGAACTATCTAGCCCGTGCCGCGTGTAGCCGCGCGGCACGGGGTTCGCACTAGCCGGCTTTTAAAAATGGCGGCGCCGGCTTTATGCTAATGAAGCCCGGGATTTGAATTTCCCGGGCTTCATTAGCAAGTTCGGTATGCATACATTACCTCGCTAGTTCGAACTAGCGGGGTAGTGTAGACATACCCCCAGTGAAGAGAGGTAGAAAGTTGCCTTGGAAGGAAATTAAGTTGAAATATTCACTAAGATGTTCAACATAAGCATTAAAGGGACACTCAGCTACTTGTTTGCTAAATATAAAAGTTAACAAAAGAATTCTCAGCTCTGAGTTTACTTTGTGCCTCTCAAGTATTAGAGGGGGAGTCATGTTATTTTGCAAAAACAACAAGAAGTCTTGGGGCACTTTGTAGACTAACAGATTTGTTTGGTCATAAACTTTCCTGGGCAAAGTGGAGTTTTGCCCAAGAAAGCTTATGCCCAAATATATCGGTTAGTCTTCAAGGTGCCTCAGTGATCCCTGTAAGGTGAGCGCTTGGGTGGCCACCCAGGGAAGATTCAAATGCTGCCCAGCAGCTCAGCAGAGGGACCACAGCCAGCAGCCTGTGTTTCTACAGGTGGGTGCACATCCACACTTGCCTTGGTGTGTGTAAAATGTATTCCACACATGGATGGAAACACTAGGGGGAACTCTAGTTTTTGTGCTTCTCAGAGTTCTTTGTCCAGTGAGGTTCACTATTTCTCTACCTTAATGTACAGCACTTCAAAAACATGAGCAGGTAACAGGAAAAAAATCTGATTTTAGAATATTTTAAAACAAGAATTTTAAAAGCCAGGACGTACTATTCAAAGTGAGCTGTATCTGGAACTGGAATATGTAAACATTAAAAAAAATACTCAGATTAGGCACATCCCTTTAAATGTACTTCATTGTGTGTCCTTTACGTTTCACAAAAGGAAACATCCACCTACCTGTTTGAGAAGTGATTTGGAAACTGGACAACTTCCGTGATTGCTTCAGGATTACGCTTTGCAATGCTACACATGTCCAGTTTGCTGTAACATTCCTCCTGCACCTCCGAGATCATTCTTTGGAAAGTGGAGCACCTCCGAATGGCCAGGAAAACCTTGGACGTCACTCCGTTTGCAATGCATTTCAGGCTCTCTTTCACAAAGGCTTTTCCCTGCAAATTTAGAAGCGGCATCATCTTAATGTGCAACAGCATATGTCATTCATAAAAAGTACGTGTTAACATAGCCTGCTTTTGCCAGTTGCTACAATTTATTCTTGCTGTGATTTAAATGTTGTGTGTCAAAAGTTTACTGAGCAATAAAGAAAGCCATTTACGGTCAAGGCATGTTGTTCCACTGGCTTGTATTCCTAATTAATCAATAAAGAACCATAGAGTTGGAAGAGACCTCAGGAGTCAGAGTCTAAACCTCTGTCTCAAGCAGGACCAACCCCAACTAAATCATCCCAGCCAGGGCTTTGTCAAGGTAGGACTTAAAACCTCTAGGGATGGAGATTCCACCCCCTCCCTAGGTAACCCATCCCAGAGCTTCACCACCCTCCTAGTAAATACGTTTTCCTAATATCCAACCTAGACCGCCCTGCACTGCAACTTGAGACCATTGCTCCTTGTTCTGCCATCTACCACCACTGAGAACAACCTCTCTCCATCCTCTTTGGAACCTCCCTTCAGGTAGTTGAAGGCTGCTATCATATCCCCTCCTCACTCTTCTCTTCTGTAGACTAAATAAACCCAAATCCTTCAGCATCTCCTCATAAGTCATGTACTCCAGCCTCCTAATCATTTTTGTTGCCCTCTGCTGGACTCTCTCCAATGCATACACCTCCTTTCTGTAAACAGGGAGGGGGGCAGAATTGGACACAATACTCCAGATGTGGCCTCACCAGCGCTGAATAAAGGGGAACAATCACTTCTCTCGATCTGCTGGAAATGCTCCTCCTAATGCACCCCAATATGCCATTAGCCTTCTTGGCTACAAGAGCAGCCTGTTGACTCATATCTGCTTCGCATTCACTGTAAACCCCAGGTCTTTTTCTGCTGAACTCCTGCTTAGCCAGTTGGTCCCCAGCCTATAACAATGCTTGAGATTCTTCCATCCCAAAAGCAGTACTCTGCACTTCTCTTTGTTAAACCCCATCAGATTTCTTTTGGTCCAGTCCTTCAATTTGTCTAGGTCCCTCTGGATCCTATCCCTGCCCTCCAATGTTTCTACCACTCCTCCAATAATGCCCAGTGGTCCCCCAATTGCCATCAGTAGTAGGGTCCCAACTGTATTGGGCAATGTAGAAACAAACAAGAATATTTCTTGCTCTGAAGACCTTCCCAGTCTATGCATCAGCAAGGCCTACAATCTAGTATCACAGCTGTGTGATAGTGACATTGCATATACAGGGGCCAGACCTGTAAGACGCCGAGTGCTCCAACCTATATGCGGGCTTTGAGGATCATGTTCTGATGTGGTGTGTTTCGCTGGACGATCTCAAAGTGCCTTAAAAACGAGTGACTCCCTAGAGGGGGTTAGTTTATGACTACTTTATGAAGGACGGTAAGGTCCCTAGCAGACTACGATCCTTTATTTATGCCCTCTCTCTATCTATTCTGTGTGAGAAGGAAAAACAAACCTGCAGCTCCAGCGAGTCAGGCTGATCTGGTTTTGCATTCCCAGGACTGAAGACTTCCAATTCAAATCACATGGCCGTGCCAGGTTACACAGTCAGAAGAGTTACTTTGTTCGAAGAACGTTTATATTTCCTCCTGAAGAGGAAATTTAGCTCCCCGCCCCACAAGACATCCTCTGCCAAGTCCTCACACACAGCATACAGTATGTGGAAAATGTACGGTAGAAAACTCTCTCTGAAGAATGGATTTGTGGCCAAAAAAGCAAAGTCCTGGTTCCCCGCAAGAGGATCTACATAGGAGCAAGGCCCATGAAGAACTAAAGGTGGCCTCTCCTGAACCCACTCTGTAGGATCAGCGCCCAAGAAAGTAAGCGCTCAAGGCCAAGCATTGAAGCGCCATAGGGATTAAGCAAGCCCTTTGCTAAATCAGGGTATAGTCCTTGTACCGTACCTGAGTGTCAAATTTAGCAGCGCTGTAGAGGAAGGACTTGCAGATGTCGTACATTCCGTCGGTGTCGCACGTCGAGTTCTCCAGGCATGCAAATGCCCCGCAGCCCACTTGCAGGGCACTGTTTAAACAGCGAACCACTTCAGCTGGAAGACAGGCAGAGGACACTTTACCTCATACACACTTTACTCCCACAGCCCGCTTCCTCAGAGGTCACCAAAGATGAATCAAGTTGCAGAAGACTCTTGTAGAGAGTTAAGTGATAGTCCCAGTTCAAAGGCTCTTTTTGGGGTGGGAGGGAGTACGAACACGGGGTCGATAATCAAGCAAGTTATTAACTGAAACCTACAATAAGCCAGCAGCAGAACTTGGAACAGAATACATCTTTTGCATGTCTGTTTCACTTATTATTGCTGTGAGGCATTACTTAACCCGCATTTTGAGTTAACGCATTTTTTATTTAAAGGGTAAACAGAGCCCACTAAGGGCTCGTCCAGACTACGCGGAAGATTCGCAAGAGGATATGCAAATTCCCGCGGGAATTTGCATATCTTCTTCTGATCTCACTTTTGAAAGTGGAGCTTTCGGAAGTGAAAGTAGTCGGAACGCGGCTTTTTTGGCAACTCCCCCCTTTTTCGAAAAGCCACGTAAACTTCATTTTTTGAGGAGGAGCGGCTTTTTGAAGGGGATTGCCAAAAAAGCCATGTGCCCACTACTTTCACTTTCGAAAGCGAGATTGGAAGAAGAGATGCAATATCCCATGGAATTTGCATATCCTCTTTCAAATCTTCTGTGTAGTCTAGACATAACCTTAATGTATAAAGAGAAAAAAGTTAGGTCAGCTGAGGCACAGGTGAAGGAGAAGTGCTAGTGGAGAGTATGCGTTTTGGGGATACTGCTAAGTGTGCAAAAGCAGCGGGATTCACACTTTTCTTTTCCATGACCCAGTTGAAGAAAATTGTTGATGCCGCGACGAATTTGACTGGACTGTGGGCTCTAGGGTGGGGCTGAGAAGGAGAGTTTGGAGTGTAGGAGGGGCTCCAGCTTTGGAGGGGATCAGGCCTGGGGCAGGAGGGGCTGACCTTGAGCAGCTCCTGGTCAGTGGCACAACAGGGGGGCTAAGGCAGCTTCCAGCCTCTCCTGGCACTGCAGACCCTGCTGCGCCCCAGAAGCAGCCAGTGGCAGGTTCCCAGCCAATGGGAGTGCGGAGCTGGTGTTCAGGGCAGGGGTAGTGCATGGAGCCCTATGCGCTCTTCCCCTGCCAGGAGCCGGGCCTGCTGCCTGCCACATCTGGGGTGCAGCGCAGTCTGCAGTGCCAGTACAGGCAGGGAGCTGCCTTAGCCCCGCCCCCACTGCTCACCTGATCCCCCTGCATCAACGAGACCCAGCGCCCGACATTCCAGCTTGAAAGCCCCTGATCTAACACTCCAATTGCTTATTAGTCTGAAAGGCAGTTATGCTGGATTGACAATATTTAGATCGTATGTCATGGCTGAACAAGAAAAATTGAATCAAGGGACAGGGGCACTGGCCTGATAAACTTTATTTTAATTCTCCCTTTAAAATAGCCACAAGAGTAGCTTTCATTAGTATGGAGGGTACTTCACCATGGTAAGAAGGAGAAAGTTTTAAGAGGAGGTTTAGTCCATACAGTTCAACTGCAGCACAGATAAGTACCTGGTTACTTGCTACACATTAATATGGGAACCAGCTCTTCATAAGCAGAGCTCTGATAAAGAATTTCAAGAAGAGAGAATGAACATTTGATCCAGAGAATTAAATGAAGGAAGATCAACACGTGTAATTAAAATAATTCATATGTAGGCACCTAATATATAAATGGCCGAGAATAGAATTTCTCAGTGTTAAAAAATGGAATAGGGTGTATTGAAACAATGAGACAACTGTATTACCAGATTACAGCCCTAAGGTTATCAGGTATTAACCTTTTCTGGTAAGCTGAATGTCTGTCCAATTATGTCCCACATTCATTGCTCCCCCCCCCCTCCAGATCTTGTTACTGAATCTGGAGTGTCAAATCAAGATACTAGATGCCTGAGGCAGGAGTATATATGCCAAATAGTAGAGGAAAAACTACCAAATATTAACTCCAAATCTCAAGAGGGGACTGTTGCAATGGCTATCTTTCGGGGGGAAAAGAAATGCAGCCTCTCTGCACCACTATCACTTACACACCTGAAGAGGAATATTTGAGACCATCCTAATTTACTCTGGCCACCTCACGGTTTCCCTCCCCCCTCCTCACAATTCTATATTTTGATAGGTTCAGATTATAACCTTGCTTTTAAGCAGGTTTAATGTGCATTAGGCTTTTATTGTTTTAGGCAGAGTGGACTAGAGAGAAAAAGAGAGAGAGCGAGAGAGAGAGAGCGCACAAGATCTTATGTTTCTATAGCAACCAAATACAAAAGGAAATTGAGCAAACACCCTCATATTAGTGCTGCAAAGCCCTGCAGCTCTAAAATAAAACAGCTCTTAATGAGCTCCAAATTAGAGGATTCCTCCCTACTATCTCTACCTTACATTTCAAGACAAATTTTTATTTCCCAGTTGCTCCAGAGAATAGAAAAATGTGCTTAGCTGCTCTGGACACCTACTGTGCACAAAGTAGAGGCATTCAGCGATGACTTGCTAGTTATTCCCCATCTATTGTAAAGGACAGTTAGGTAAGTGTGCTTCCCCTATTTTCATGTTACCATTCTGAGCAATTTCCATAAGCAATGAAGACTCCAGGGGGACACCTTTTTAGCTCATTATATTCTCTGAAGTAGCCTTAGAACAAAAATGTAGTTTCATCTTCTTTTGAACACATTTAGGAGAAAGAGCAATGGCTAAGTGAATACAATCTGTGGAGATTGGATTTGCTAATAAGCAAGGAATGTAATATTAAAGTGTATTCACAACAGGGGAAAAAGACATTCAACCAGAATGAGAAAGTACATGCAACTCATTTTACAGATACGAGAAAATATAGATCTCTGCCTCTCTTTCTCTCTCTTGCAGATGTCATGCTGGTTTATAAGCCATCTACTAAAAGGAGATGGTTTCCTTTCTCCAGGCATCAATATTACACAGACTCAGTTTCCTAGGATTTTTGATTACATAATTGATTGCTAACAGCCATGAAGGGACAGTTTATAGCAAACATTAGCAGCAAAGACATTTGCAACAGTTTAAAACACATCCGGGCTCCGAGAGCCAAAGCCCTCTTTGAGGGGTGTTACCTGAGTTCTGTGCTGCAACCCTGGTTTTCCTGGGGCTCACAGAGTCATTCTGTTCGGCTTCATAGGATGCAGAAGCACTGATCACCAGCAGCAGGAGAATAACTGACTTTTGGAGCATTCTCTGACAAGTTTCCGCTAAGTTTTTTTTTTTTTTTTTTTTTTTTTTTTTTTTTTTTTTTTGGTGAGTGTCTCCTCTTTCTTCGGCTTCAGCAAAGATGCGGATCTGGATACACTCACAGAGAAAGGAATCTGCCAAGGACTTAGTACTGCTGCAGCCTTGCTCTGCTTGTACCCCTAGCTCCTGCTCACTGGGGGACCAAGAGCAAAGCTCAGGGTTTTTATAGCCGGCCTTATCTATCCCCCTCCAGGATCTGGAGCCAATCAGGAGGTGGTAGGAGCAGCCAATGGGATGCTGTGCTCATTCAAGCACCAGAGCACTGGAACTTCACAGGAAGAATATTTTCCAGCCAATTAAAAGTACCTGCCAAACAATAATAAAAAAAGTTAATCTTCACAGAAGCAAGAGGGAAAAAAAACTTCCTGTAATTAATTTTGCTCAAGGAAATTGCATGACAACCTTAAATCTTTCCCAGGATTACCTGCCTCTTAAAAAGCAACTTACCCATCTATTTAGTAGCTACTGAAGGAAAATACTGATATTTTAGTCTATTTGCTATAAATAAGGAGGGCAGCTACTTAAAGCAGAGGCATTACACAGAATGAGTATTTGCCATGTAGGTTGCATACAGTCAGTATGGCCAATCAGTCATGCACATGAATACCATGCCATATAGGCATACATTATATGCATAATGCTTTCACACAATATATGTATCCCCCCAAACTAGGCAGTGCACACAGAGTTTGTGAACTATCATATGCAAATATGCATACATCATATCCCCCCCAGCATTATAGAAACCGCACATAAACCCTTCAACATACAAATATGTGTATGGATACACATCCATGCGCATCCAAAGCACATGCTTGAACCTATGCTCGGACCTATGCTCACAACAGCATACCCCCTTTCTGCTCCCAACACTTGACGACTTTGTTTTAATAAATTGGGAATTCATGCCAGGCAAATCATGATAAAAGCTTTTTTTGAACGCTAGCAGAGGAACACTGTTGATAGTTTACGGTTTTGTTGTGGCTGGTTTTAAATCTGACAAATTCATGACGAGAGGAGGACATTTTGTTAAGCTTTGTTTAAAAAAACAAAACAAAAACAAATAATGACGCTTCAGACACTGGAGGCCTGGTTTTATTCACCCCAGGGCCCCTTTACAGCACTCTGACAGTGTAAAGGTTTTAAGGCGGGGGGGGTGCTAAAATAAACAATACTGTTCTAGATCTTGAACCTCGGCAAAGGAGGGTATGTGGGGAAAAAGATTTATGGGTTAAAAAAAAATCAGATTTCTGCATTTCAGGAAAAATTAGACACTGATACCAAGCATAGCTGATCAGAGGAATGGAACACTGCTTTTTCCATCGATCTCACAAACATGAATAGATTTACCCTTACAAGGCTCCTTTGCAAAAGGAAAGTCTTGTCTCCATTTCACCAGGTGAAGAATTGCAGCAGAGAGAAGAGGAGCTTGTCAACGTGGAAAGACTGCACCCATTTCCTTGAAAACCGGTTTAAAAGTGGATTTCGTTAAAACTGTCCCAATGTAGGCAGAGGCACGCTAGCTTTGCTTCACGGAGGCTTACTTTGATTTCAACTGAAATTCAATAAGGGATCCATTGAAACAGAAAAGGAGAAAGCCCTTCTTGAAACTAGGGTTGTCAGGTGGTTTAACCAAAAACCGTACACTTCCCGCCACCCCCCCCAAAAAAAACCAAAAACAAAAAACAAACACTGGGAGAAAAAAGGGGGGGGGGGGGAGAGGGAGACCAAAATTGTTGAGGGGGAAAAAAAAAGACGACCATGAGAGTTATTAAGCAAAAAAATTAAAAAACCTAGCATGGCCCCTTTAAGACATGCTTTCGAGGACTTTTGGCCCTAACAGGCTGCTGGCAGCCATCTGCCATCTTGTCTTCCTGCTCTGGGCCAGACAGCTCCCCTGAGAAACCAGGTAAGCACCCAGGATTTTCGCCACCTGGCCGGGAAAAAAAACAGAAAATACTGGACATTTTCGGTGTCCCCCCAGAAAATACCGGACATTTTAGGTGTCCAGTATTTTCTGATTTTTTTCACTGGACAGGAGGCAAAAATACTGGACTGTCCGGGTCAATACCGGACACCTGGCAAGCCTACTTGAAACAGAAATAAAAGTGGGGTTTGTACCAATTTCACAAAATCGTTTCAGACACCGCTTTGATTAAACCACTATGTTTGTGTGTAGCCAGGCTGTAGAGGACTAGTGGGTGGGAATAGGAGTTATCTGCGGCAGACCAGAAGATAGGCCCCAGATGTCCAGACTCCGATCTAGTGCTATAATCTCAAACCTTCATCTCAACAGTTCCCCTGCTACCAAGCGAATGACATAGCAGCAAAAATGATGGGACCATAACAGCCCCTCAAGTGTCTCTTCAAAGGCATATTGCTGTATCCCACTGGGTTAAATGGAGCTTCTCCATACAGAGGTACAGGACACATCTACACCACAAACTAAGATGTAATTATTAGCAGATATAGCCACAGTCGCTTTAATTTAGCTTGCACCGATAACAATAGCAATAGCGGGACCCAACTCAGGATAGCAACCTCAGTATGTACTTAGAATTCCCAGTAGGGTCATACCAGGGGAATTAAGTCTGTCTTCACTATTATTACCTGCATCAACCAGACAAGCTTGAATGAGTATGTCTCACCATGGGACAATTACACCATAATTTGCAGTGTAGATGTACCCACAAAAGCAGCTGAAGGACAGGGGCCTTGCAGCAAAATCCTGTTCTCATTGATATACTTGGTATCAACTTCAACTGGAACAGAATCAAGCCCTGGGTTGCAGCTTGCCTTGGAGGTTGGGGGGGGGGAGTGGGAGGGAGAGAAGGGGGTTAGAATTACAGCCATACCAGATGTTCAGAAAACATTCAGAAACGTTGAAACAGAGGGGTTTTGTGTTTCATCTCAGTTTTGTGAAACTGCGCCAATTTCATTTAAAAAAATCCCTGAAAAAACACTGTGGGTTTCTCCACCTAGGAAAAAAATAGGACCAGTCCAGTTTGCAAGTGAAACTGATCCATGGGGCTTGATTCCGATCAAATCAAAGGGAACACTGGCATTTACTTCAAAGGGAGTTGAGTCACCATTCTATCTAGTTCCTATTTTATGGACAAAGGCCTTGAAATTCCCCAAATGTTGAATTTCAAATTTCAAATCTGAATTTTTGTCTCGCCCACAACTAAGGTTAGTTTTCAGGCCAACTTTTGAGTGCTTCAGTTTACAGCAAGAAATGTACAAAGGCAAAACCAACCCCTATGCTGTCACCTACCCTCTACACAAAATTGAGAACCATTTCCATGAATAACTATGGAGAAATAGTAACCTGGTCAGAGGCAACATTCTGTTCATTTTTAAAAAAATGGAATATTATTTCATTCATAGCTGCTAGAGGTCAGACCCTTTGACTTCAATGGGCTTTGTAAAAACCCATAAGTGCAGTTACGCAGGCAGATATTAATACTAACACTAGTCAGATATTTCTAAAGGAAGCAAGTTAAGCAGCCAGGTATCACAACAAATATTTACAAAAGGCAATTGGAATAGGCGTGGTAAGAATTTAATTTGTCTTGCCTATCATGGTGCATTGGATCAACACAGACGTACACAGTGAGCGCCCAGAGCCTTTTAGAAACATTTAATTAAACCTCAAAAGAAAACCAATTTTCTTCCCGATTTTAAAGATAGGGAAACTGAGGCAAAGAGAGTCAGTGTGTTCTTTGAGGCCCCACATTGCATCAGTGTCAAATCTGAGAATAGTCTTGGGGAATCCTGTGCCGTCTTTTGGGAGCATCATTCAGGGATGCTCTTCATTTCCCTGAGACACACATCAGTGACTACCATGCAAATGATGAGAAGACCTACCCTAGCCTTCTTTCCACACTAGAACACAGCGGGGGCTTGTATTTTGTATTAAAATTCCAAATAAGAAAATAAAATAATGGTGACCATAGGAATTGTTGGACTGGGAATAGACTAGTGGTTTATTGAATGCAGCATCCTCTCTCTGACAAAGACTGATTGTGGATAGTTCAGGACATGTGCAACAACCAGAAAGTCAGCTTTATGGCATAATCTTCCTATAAGAGAAGTTTCTTCCTAATTCCCTCATCTTTTGCCCTAAAGCATGAAGATTTGTATTCTCCTTGCCCCCAACAACAAGATCAGACCATGGGTCCATCCAGTCCAGTAATAGACACCTCTAAGTTGGCACATATGATATAATCTGCCAATAGGAAAAGTTTCTTCCTGACCTTCTCAATGAGAGGCTAGTTTGCCCTGAAGCACGAGGGCTTATATGCTATACAAACCATTTGTTTTGTTTTTTTTTCCAGTGGGAACATAATGCATAGAAAAAAAATCATGATTAACCTTGCATGCATCAGCCCTTCATACCGTCTCCAACAACAGATCTGGCTAAACAGACTAACATTTGCTGTTACACAGTCATTTGTGCCTAAAGATTGGGTTGATTGTCAAGGAGAAACCTGGAAGAAAGGAATAATAATAATAATAAAAAAAGCAAAGGGAGGAAATCCAGGGGGATAAATGAACAATCAACTCCCTTTTTTCGCTGCTTTGAGCTGGAGGAGTGGAAGCTGCTCTTGCTGGCTGGCAAAGAGCAAGGGTTCATTTCTCCTCCATTGTGTAATAAGATCCTTGGCCACCTTCCCCCCTCCCCCCGCCAACACACCAGATCCCTCCATCAGCTCCACTGCGGACGGACGTGAGCAACTGCATCGCCTCAAGAGTTAGCAACGCTCTGCTGATTTGTTCCCCACATAATCCCTGCACGTCGGCGTCTTTCAAACAAATGAAATGTCTTAAAAAGACCTTCAGGAGCTGTGACACTTCCCCCCCTCCCCCTTCACCCTTTCCTTAAACTCTGCTGTTTGACACAACTTGAAAGAGCCACAGAGTGCATTCAACAAGCTGGAAAAGCAAAAGGGGATGGTTGTAAACCAGGCACAATGAATGGCTTGGCCTGTAAGGGATAGATTTACAGAGAAGCAGGAGATTAGGGTCCAATTCCTGCCAGGTGCAGAGTCCTCTACATGCCACTGAGATGTTCAGAACCTCTTAGGAGGGGCCCAGGACTTTGCAGGATCAGGTCCCGAGTTTGCACCGTCCAAAAGTCTTGAAACACGGCGAA